TGTTTTTTTTTTTTTTTCTCCCCCCTTTTTTTGGGAATCACCAAGTGTGCATCACTTTAAAACGGAAGCTAAACCTACCCATCTACCTTACCTACCACCTATCGACGAAACTCGAAGAACAACAGCCACAACAGGAAGGTAAGCTATCTGGTCTAGACGATCTGGCGAGATAGCGTGTCGATACCCCTTTGGAAGAGGAAGAAGGGGTGAGAGAGAAAGAGATAGCGGTAGAAACGGAAGAGGAAGAATAAAAAAAAAAAAGAAAGAGAGGGAGGATTGAATGTTACAGAAAAAAATTTTTGAATAATCTATCTTACATGTGATAATCATGGAAATCGCGCATCCTGTACAGTACTCCACCTCATTCATCGATCATCTACTATACTATAATTATTGAATATTATTAAAAGTAATTAATATTATTGTAACATGTGTAAGGTATAATAATAATCGTAAAAGAAACGTTATCATCTTGTGTATGTGCGAGTAGGGAAAGAAAAAAGACGAGCGTACGAATGGAAGAGAGAGAGAGAGAGAGAGAGAGAGAAAATTACAAAGAGAGCAAGAGAGAGAGAGAGAGAGTACGAATGCATGAGATCGACCAGGAACAAAAAAAAAAAGCAACATAAACGAACGAATGGAACGTGAGCGTGCTTGTGCAAGTGAGTCGGGGCAAAATCGCAACAAAAAATAACAAAAATGAAAAGAATGCAGAGAGAGACAAAACAAACGAAAGAAAAAAAATAGAAAATAGACAGATATAAACGAATATAAAAAAACGGAAGGTAAAAGAAAGGAAAAGATTAAGGATGGAAAGGGAAAAGAAAACTACTTTTCAGATCGATCGATTGCGACTTGACGGGAAAACGCGCATTTTAAAAAAGAAAAAAAAAAACAGAAAACGATTTTAAAAAAGTAGAAAAAGAAAAAAAAAAAGACGATGTTTCGTTTCAGAACATGTATATGAGACTGATCCGGCCCGCCGCGGCCTCCAGAGTTTGCAATCAACCGTACCTTTGTAAAGCCGAAATCGTGTTGTGTCTCTCGTCTCTGTCTGAATGCGTCCATCCGCATACGACCATCTCTGTCTAACACCCCTATCCGAATAATTCGAATCGTTTTTTCAAACGTTGTTTCCACGTTGTATCGCGAAAACCAACCATGTTTCAAATCATGTAAACACCCGCAAGAGGGGAAAAAAAAAAAAAAAGAAAACGACTTTAAAAAAGCAGAAAAAGAAAAAAAAAAACAGAAAACGATTTTAAAAAAGTAGAAAAAGAAAAAAAAAAACAGAAAACGATTTTAAAAAAGTAGAAAAAGAAAAAAAAAAACAGAAAACGATTTTAAAAAAGTAGAAAAAGAAAAAAAAAAACAGAAAACGATTTTAAAAAAGTAGAAAAAGAAAAAAAAAAACAGAAAACGATTTTAAAAAAGTAGAAAAAGAAAAAAAAAAAGGGAGTTAAAAAAAGAAAAAAGGGAAAAAAAAAAAAAAAGAAAACAGAAAAAGAAACGGAGATTAAAAACGAGAAAAAGGATAGAAGACACGCGACGAAGCGTGTGTTCGCACGTGGGGTCGCGTGTCGTTCGAGACAGAGATGGATCGAACGAGATACGCGTAGAAACGGAATACGTAGAGAGAGAGAGAGAGAGAGAGAATGAGTGAAACGGTAAGAGGAGACGAGAGGCAAAACGTGTATAACGATAGCAGAGAGAGAAAGAGAGAGAGAGAGCGTGTGAAATGCGTGCGCGTGTGGGTGAGCGAGACGAAGAGAGTTAAAGAGTGACGAGGAAAGATATAGAACGACGAGAAAAGAAAGAAAGAATATCGAGTGCGTTGAGAGAAAGAGAGAGAGAGAGAGAGAGAGAAAAATCGAAGTCAAGTGCGATGTAATAATCGGCATTAAATAAAAGAAAAAAAAAAAGAGAAACAAAAAAGGCGCAGTGTAAATAGTAGATTCGTAAGGCTAAGTCCTAGAAGGCGCGAGTGGACGAGTTTTTTGC